TCTCTTTCTCTCTCATAAATAAATAAAATCTTTAAAAAAAAAAAAAAAGATGAGAGAGCTCTTGTTTGGGGGTGAGGGGTGTTACACAGGAGACAGGAAACCCACTTACCCCCAGGACAGAAGCCCAGCAGTTCCCTACTGCTGCTTTCTGGGGATCTGGAATTTGGGCATTAGCCTTCCAGTGTGGGCTACTGCAAAGACAACAGCCCTCTCTCCTGCCTGGCCCTAGTGCTTCTCTCTGGAGTAACCTTCCAGCAGAGTAGCCTGCATGCCTGACAGCGGGAGAGCAGGAGGGGTGGTGGGGGGGGGAACCCACCTGCCCAGAGGGCAGAGAAGGAAAACGGAGCCCTACAGGAGACCCTGGCACCAGACAGCCCAGATGCAGCCTGGGAAAAAGCACCCGGCCCTCCCCAGCAGCTCAGAGATCAAAGGACAGGCTGGTGCCTTAGGTATGAAATGCAAAGGAGGCTCAAGAGCAATCACTGGGACTTGTGGCTAGTGATGCCAAGTGGCCCGTCCTACATGGAGTTCCTCCAAAGCCTAGGTGGCAGAGGAAACCTAAAAGAAAGATGGAGATGGTGGGAGCCAAAGCCCTGCCTAGCACCGCTCCTAAGGCACCCAGCCCTGCCAGGCCCCACAGCCCTTCTTCTTTAACAGTGGCGTGGCCCACTGGGGCTCTGAGCCAGATCATCCCCTCCCGGCCCTGTCGACCAACATCACGTTTCAGTTTAGGAGAATGGGCCAACTTCCCATTAGTGAACCCAAAATGAGGCCATGGCACTGGAGCTCCCTGGGGCAGTGGTCCCACAGGACAGCTGCAGAAAACGGAAGCCAGGAACTGAGTCTTAGAAAGGGTCCCAGAGACTGTTCTCCTGCCACATGCCGCCTGCTGTCCCGCACTGAGCTTCGTAGGGGCAGGGAGGGCGTAACTGCCACGGGGGAGGGTTGTGGCCTCACAGCTATGTCCCCACAGCTCCCACCTCAGGGCCGGGCACGGCAGAGGCTGGGGAAGTATTTGGTGAACAACCGAGGGGACGGGCCCACACCCGCAGAGGGGACAGCCTCGTAACAGAAAATGGAACGAGCTAAATGGTTAGGGCATAACTAGGGGGTCCAGGATGGAACCCTAGCTCAGTCCCAAGGGGCACAATCCGAGCCAACTCCGTTCCCACTCACCCCCTCGGCAGGGCTGCCGGGATCAGCCAGGGCAGCCCTGGATGGGCGACGGAGAGGAGCAAATGCCCCTGCCACGTTCCTCGGACACTAGCACATCAGAACGAGGGCAGAAGAGGGACAGCACCTGACCCAGCGTGGCCTGCCCTGGCAGACTCTTGAGTGGTGACAGGGCCACTCCTGCCAGTTCTGCAAGAATTACCCACCTGTACTTGGCCTCCCGTCCCACAAATTGGACCATGCAGCGCATTGAGATGACTGAGGAAAAAGAAACACACAAGGGTGACACGGTGGCCAAAGCCCATGGCAACCCAGCGGTGGGGTGCCCACTGCCGTGGAAACCGCGCGTGGCCTGTGTCAGCGCGGGAGGGGGAGGAGGGCCTCAGGGATTCTCCGTCACACCCCGTGACCACGGCATCCTGTTTCTTCTGCCTGAGAAGGGCCCCGGCTCCCTCCAGACAGGACTCCCCACCAACTTGTCCTCAGCGCAGTTCCAGCGGAGGACCCCCACCCGACTATACTTCCCAGTGATCTAGCACTGCCCGGCTTCGCCCCGCGAGGGGTTACCCCACAGCTGAGAAGCCGTCTCCAGTGGGGTGGCTCACCGTGCAGGGGGTGGGCCAGCATGCGGGACACACACTGCATCATCATCTCGTAGGAGGTCTGGAAGAGAGCAGAGGGTGGGGACTCGGCCTGCCCTCTCTCGGGACTGGCACTCAAGGGGAACCACAAGCTCTTACAGGGGAAAAACTGGGATCCCACAGCCCCCGGAGGGGTCAGTCGACCTGGGATCACCCCACTTGTCAGCCACCCCCCCATCCCCTCCACCTAGGAGTGCTGCTGAGTCTTGCACTAGGCCCCACGATGGCCGAGAGGCTTTGTGGTATTCCTTACAGCGTCCTTACGGGGCTCCTTCCGTGTCCCACCCTAGCCACGCACACACGAGGAGCCAAACCTGTGTCTCTTCAATGGCCCGGCCGACTCGGCCGTGAGAAATAATCAGACTCCCCTCCCAGGGCGTCTCCCTCTCCCAACTCGATACCCACCTCCTTCACTACTTTCCTCAGAGAAGTCTTCATGTCATCCTTGTTGGAAACCTGTTCGATCTCATCCGGAGGGAAAACCTGAGGTACAAAAAACAAAGGAGTGAGGCGCCTGGCTGGCTCTGTCACACGGCATGCGACTCTCGACCTCAGGGTTTTGAGTTCGAGCTCGAGCCCATACTGGCGTCAAGCTTACTTCATTAAAAAAACAAAAACAGGGGCGCCTGGGTGGCTCAGTTGGTTAAGCAACTGACTTCGGCTCAGGTCATGATCCTGGAGTCCTGGGATCGAGTCCCGCATCGGACTCCCGGCTCAGCGGGGAGTCTGCTTCTCCCTCTGATCCTCCCCCTCTCATGCTCTCTGTCTCCCATTCTCTCTCTCAGATAAATAAAAAATCTGAAACAAAACAAAACAAAAACAGAAAACAAGGGCGCCTGGGTGGCTCAGATGGTTAAGCGTCTGCCTTCGGCTCAGGTCATGATCCCAGGGTCCTGGGATCGAGTCCTGCATCGGGCTCCCTGCTCCTTGGGAGCCTGCTTCTCTCTCTCTCTCTCTCTCTGTCTCTCATGAATAAATAAATAAAATCTTTAAAAAAAAAATTAAAAAAAAAAAACAACCAAAAAACAAAAAAGGAGGGCCAAAAGCAAAGTACAGCTATGCCTCTTAAATGTCACACTGAAGGGACAGGGACGGCAGGAACCAGCTCCTACTATTTTCCCTATAGCTGGGTCCACCTCTGGTAAGCCCAGGCCTGGAGCTCGGGGGGGTTGGCGGGGAGCCCCTGCCTGCCTGGTGTCACAGTTGTGGGCAAGCGGGAGGACTATGGGGCAGGACCGTTCCCAATCAAGGAGATGCAGTGTGCGACCACCAGGGTTTAGAGCCCGGCTATGGTGCTAGGTGTAGCCGGGGGAAGGAGAAATGGACCGGCGCACACGGCTGTCTCTGGGGCTGGCAGGGAGCTTGGGGGAACTTCAGGCAACAGCTCCTGGCTTCGCCCCAGGCTCACCTTCTTCATACTGCCCCGAGTCACCGTGGAGAGGGCATTGGACATCAGTCGGGGGCTCAGGCCTCGGAAAAGCCCTATCTTCCCATCCACCTGCACGATGTACTTGGCTGTAAGAAAGCAGAGGTGGCCATGTCACGCCCGGCCCAGACATACCCACCCCGGGTCACACTCACTCCCAGACCAGATGCGGCCTGTCCCTCAGTCACGGAAGGGGCGGTTATCTATCCAAAACCCCAGAAGCAATCGGGCCCCAACGCCAAAGTCTTCTCTAGCCCATTTCTTTGTGTAAAACCTTCAGAATGTATTTTCGACCAACAAATTCACATATTTTAACTTTGCAGAAATATTTGGCAAGCTCAGCTACAGTTTTTCAACTCAGCAACTTCAGTGCTACAACCCAGAAACCAATTCTGCTGCTTATAAAAAATGCTTTTCTTGGGGCGCCTGGCTGGCTCGGTCAGAGGAGCATTCAACGCTTGATCTTGGGGTTGTGTATTCCAGCCCCACGTTGGAAAAATAATTTTTCAAACAATGTTTTCCTTGGGGGCAAGAAAAAAAGGAAAAAGGCAGAGAGTGCTCACAGGCAACGATAAAGTTTGGAACCTAAGGGAGGAAAAAAGGGAAAAAGGAAGAAAGGCTCAAGGGCATCCCCTAAGCACACTACGGAGGGCCACCCTCATACTGTCACTGTGCTGCACCCAGGCTCCCACCTGGTACCCATTAGCATTTATGAATCACAGCAGGGGGTGGAGGTTGGGAGGGGGCGACATAACTAGTGGAGAAGTAACCAAAACGGGCACCGGTGAACTATTCTAGAGAAAAAACATAAGCAGCCAGGGAAGCTAGACCCTACCTGAATGAGTGTTTTTTTCTTTCTTTTTCTTTTCAAGATTTCTTTCTTTCTTTGACAGAAAGAGAGAGAGAGAGAGTGTGCGCCAGCATTCTAACATGTGTGCATGTGAGCAGGAGGGGGGCAGAGAAGGAGGGAGAGAGAGAATCTCAAGCGGACTCCACACTCAGCGCAGAGCCTGAAGTGGGGCTCCATCTCACAGCCCTGAGACCAGGACCTGAGCCAAAATCAAGAGTCTGAGGCTCAACTGACTGAGCCACCCAGGCGCCCCAGTATTTTTTCATTAGGGCCTCTAAAAGGACACGTCTCTTAATGTTTCATTATTTTTTCTTTTTTTTAAAGATTTTATTTGTTTGTTTGACAGAGAGAGACACAGCGAGAGAGGGAACACAAGCAGGGGGAGTGAGAGAGGGAGAAACAGGCTTCCCGCGGAGCAGGGAGCCCGACGTGGGGCTCGATCCCAGGACCCTGGGATCATGACCTGAGCCGAAGGCAGAGGCTTAATGACTGAGCCACCCAGGCGCCAATGTTTCATTATTTTTTTAAAAGATTTTTATTTATTTTTTTATTTGAGAGAGCGAGAGAGAGACAGAGCGCTTGCACATGGGGGGCTCGGGAGCAGAGGAAGAGGGACAAGCAGATTCTACACCGAGCACGGAGCCCAGTGTGGGGCTGGATCCTAGACCCTGACATCAGGACCTGAGCCAAAACCAAAAGTCGGAAGCTTAACCAACTGAGCCACCCAGGCGCCCCTGAAGATTTTATTAAGTACCCACTACACCCAATGTGGGGCTCGAACTTAGAACCCCAAGATCAAGAGTCACATGCTTTACCAACTGAGCCAGCCAGGTGCTCAAATGAAACCTTTTAAACTATGTTCAAGAAGGTGATGTGTTCTCATGAGAGAGACAGACTCTGAAAAACAAACTGAGGGTTCTTGAGGGGAGGGGGGTGGGAGGATGGGTTAGCCTGGCAACGGGTATTAAAGAGGGCATGTTCTGCACGGAGCACTGGGTGTTATATGCAAACAATGAATCATGGAACACCACATCAAAAACTAATGATGTAATGTATGGTGATTAACGTAACATAGTAGAAGCTGATGTGTTCTTATAAACCCGCATAACTAGAAGCTAGCAGAACTTTCTCTCGGCCCCTGAGCACCCCTTCCAGACCCGACTTCAGCTCTTTAGCACCACCCAGTGGCAGGAACCAGCAAAAGAGCCTTCCTCTCCAAAGCAACCTGTCTGCCAACCCAGCAAATTCAATGTCACTGCTGGAACAGGCTTGCCTTGGGGCCCGAGAGCACCTGTTCCCTGCATATTTGGCTTTCTGAGATGGGGGTGGGGCTGGAAAGAGAGGAATAGGAGGGGACCGGACACTGGATGCCGTGGCAGGGTGCCCCGCTTCACAGAGTGAACAGGCAGGAGGAAGGTTTATTTTGGGGGAGGGGGGCTCCAGGCAAAAAAGAGATGCAGGCGGGGTAAAGCCTCAGTGCGATCGCCGCTGAGTCACTTAGCCTCTTTCTACCCGATTTGCCCACCAGTAAAAAAAAGGAGTAAGGACCCCTATTTCTCCTCATCTCAGAGGTGATTTATGAATAAGTGAGAGCAGAGAAAGGTATGCAAAAATCCCTACGGGGGCCTCTATGGGCCCAAAGGGTCCCATAGCCAGGCAGGGGCTCTGTCATTCCATGGTTTCTCTGCAGTCCCTGCAAAACTCTGTTACACCAAAGAATGTCACGACAGCTGTGGCACTTTTCATCATGACCTGGAAAGGAGTGGATGTTGTCTAGACAGGAGACAGACAGCTAAGTCCCCTCGCTCACGCCCAACAGCCATCTGTTTATAATATCTGGACTGAAACAACATTTATATACACGGGGTGAGCAGGAGCACCTCAGAACTCGGCTCATCTTTGCAAGAAGCAAGATGTGGGTCCAGACCCCTCTACGCTGAGTCCTTTTGGGAAGGACTGTGTGACACGAGGAGAGAGAGTCCGGCTTCTAACCTGGGGCCCCTCACGTGGCTAGAGCACGCAGAGAAGCCACAAGGGAGGGGCTGACAGCCCGCCACCCCAGCTTCACCTTTATACACTGGCTTCCCTGTTCAGTGGTCTGGGTGCCTGCCTACCTCTGTGACCTCCCCCTCCCCTTCACGGACTGTTTCTAAATAAAACCAAATACAAACACATTTCCCCACAAAATGACATGTTCGGCCTGGCCCCGGGCTACTCATCATGGTGGCAAAAATGGAAGAGAAACACAACGTCAGATTCTGCCAAGAGTGTGTGGAATTTAAAAAAAAAAAAAAGGGTGACAGGAGGCAAAGCCCCAGGTTATTTGGCAGATTTTCAGAGAGTATTTTGGACTGACCAAACAGGTACGAAGAGAAGAAGTGGGGGCACCTGGGTGGCTCAGTCGTTAAGCGTCTGCTTTTGGCTCAGGTCATGATCCCAGGATCCTGGGATCGAGCCCCGCATCGGGCTCCCTGCTCAGTGGGAAGCCTGCTTCTCCCTCTCCCACTCCCCCTGCTTGTGTTCCCTCTCTCTCACTGTGTCTCTCTCTGTCAAATAAATAAATAAAATCTTTAAAAAAAAAAAAAAAAGAGAGAAGAAGTGGACGAAGCCTGAGGGGGATCAGCCCAGCTGTGAACGTGGACAGCAAGGGTACATTTGGAGAAGTCCAGGGAGGGTGGGCACTAGGAGAGAGACAGCAATGGTGGACTGGAACGGCCTGAGCCAGCCGAGGGGCCTGGGGACGAGCAGTAAGAGACAGCCAGGTGGGCTCAGGTGGCATGGGGTGAGCTCCCCCGGGGCGGTGGGCTTCTGGGGAGAGACCTCCAGTCAGCAGAGCCACGGCAGGGGCTGCGGGGTGCTTGCACGAAGGGCCTGGATGAAGAAGCTGCCACGACTTCGCCGACTAGGAGCGCAGGGCAGTGAGGCGGTCTGCCGAGCCCGAGCAGCGACCCGCCGGAGGTAGAGCGTGACGCCCCGGGGGCTGGCTGCTCGTGCCCAGTGTGGGGAGATGCTCAGTGGGGCCCACCGCCTGGGGAACACGGGAAAGAGGAGGAAGGAGAGGAACCCAGGAAGCCGCCAGGTAACAGGAAAGCAGAAAAACTGGCAACAGGGCCAGACTGCTTGAAAAGCACAGGGAAACCTCCTCGGACCCCCACTTCCAGGCACAACTTGGGGCAGCAGAGATGACAGGGGCTGGTGTCCGGAGGCTGCAGGCGGCAGAGCTGGACCAAAGTCATCTTGTCCACCTGCTCCCACCCCAGCAATCTGCTGCTTCTGGTGACACTTCGATCCCCTCCTCCCGGCCAGCACGACACCAGGTGCCACGCTGCCCTGCCCTGTGTGTTCCCCGGGGCCAGCTGGGCCTGCTCCCCGGATGACGCTTCTTTTTTGTCCATGGGGGCCTTCCTGCCTGGGAAGCAGACTCACCATAGGTGAAGAAGCTCGGCAGATAGAGGACCTTCCTCCCCAGCACATTGGTCCCAATGGTGGGGGGCATCGGCTCATGACCCACCTTCAGAATCAACAAATACAAAAGGAAGGTCAGATTCTGCTGCTGATCCAGCTCACGGCTGCTCATGCCCCCAGGCCTTTGCCTCTTCGGCCCACAAATTCCAACGCTGCTCCTGCTGGGTGTTTTCCTTGGAAAAACATACCAGAAATGTCATCGGCAGTCTAGAACCACCAGCATCATGCAAGCTCCCAACCAATGGAAACGTCTAGTCCCAGATCCGACCCCTACCACAATCCAAGTCACCCTGTCCCCCAACATTCTCACCTTCAAATTCCAGACATTTCCAGTGCGGGAAACCACTCCCCCCCCTTTTATGTACTTCGAACTCTGCACTCACCTCAGAATAAATCTCAGGTAATTCCCATCTCTGGGCTAAAATTTCAGTCCAATCTCAATCCCAAATGTGCCAACACCCAAACACGTCACACCCACATCTCAGTCCCGAACTTCAGACAGCTTGGCTCCAAGTAACCCACCCCAGAGTGCACCCCACACTCAAGTTCCCTACTGCACCCACTGCAGAGGCCGACAAATCTGTCCCTCTTGCTCCCAGGCAGCGCAAACTGGTTGCTCCTCAAACAATTCCTCATCTGTGTTCTAATCTTGATCACTTCGTATCCCTGTGACAGAATGACCCCCTCATTTCTGTAAGGCTATTGTAATTCTTGCTGTATAGACGCTCATTATAAATATAGTATCCATTAAACTCATGGGGGAGGAGAGAGGACACAGCCACCCACACCCCTTTGGGGGGGGTCTGTCCTGAGGGGTGAGGTCATTTATTATGCTGCCAACTGATGAGGAGAGAGACTCTGCTGCCAGCCAGGAGGCAAGGTATCTCCTAAGTGGGGTGCGAGAAGTCCCCTTCCCGGGCAGGGGGCCAGGACACAAGCGCTGTCCCTCAAAGGAAGCCAGCCAAGCCCCTGGACCAGAGCAGCTCCTTTGGGATGTAGCAGGGAGCAGAAATGGCAGGGCTGGGAAGCTCTGCCTTAACAACTGGACTAGGTATGCTTCTGGTGACAGAGGTAGTCTGTTAGACCAGTTTTCCTGGTCCAATTTCTTCTCTTCTTCGCCTTAGTCGAGTGTTTTTGAAAGCTCTGGTTGTCTCTTGTGGATGTGATTTGAGCTACACGACCGATCACTGACTGTAAATGAAGAAACCCCCTCCATGACGGCCACCTTCTATTAAAAAAAAAAAAAAAATTCTAGCCCAGGGGAGTTGAGGGAAAGGGATGAGCCAGCTGACCCAAGCTGTTAGCCCTTCCCCTCTAGACCTTTCCCCTTCTCGGATAAATGCTCGAAGGTTCTGACTTAAGTTTTAATTTCTCACTTCTATAGGCGGTATTCTCTTTACAGCCTCAACTCCAAGTCTGAGCTGCTACTGTTCTGTTGCTGCCTCACTCAGTCTAGTCACAGTTTGGGAGTCCTAGCCATTCCACCCGCACCTCTAAATCTGCTGTGTCCCTTCACCCCAGGGCCCCCAAATCTGTTGAGTCTATTTTTTTTAACTTCCACCTGGGGTTATAAAAGGCACACATCTCAGCCCCATCCCCCTCATCCTCAAGGTTCCCTGATTTGTGCCCAAGTCGCATGCACCCTATTTCACCCCCAAATCTGTTGTTAACCCAGTCCCCCCACAGCCAGAGCTGCGGCCCCGCATCCGACACTGGCAGAGCCAGTTCACCGCCCTCAAATCTCCAACTGCTGAAACCTGACTCGGACGAACCCCAATCGGAGGCCCCACATTCTTGTTCATTTGGTCTAGCCAACCCCCAAATCTGCCACTCCAATCCTGCCACCTGCCCCCCCAAACCGGGAGCTGCCTTTTTGCAAACTACGGCTGATTCCCAAGCTGTACATATTAAGATTTCACCCTAAAACATGTTACACTCAGCACCAGCTGGGTTCAGATCAGACAGACTACCTCTGTCACCCGGACTGGGCTCACTCATCCTTACCTACCCAGTTCTTTTCACCCTTTGGGCTCCATCTTGCCCAATTCCCTCTTCAAATCACTCGTATTTCAATTCTCTTCGCAAACCTGTACACCAAATCCACCATGAAGCCGCTTCTCATTTTGTTCACATGAAACGCCCCCCTGCTCCCACCAATTCCTTAGGTACTCCAGCATCCTCTACCCCACAGACCCTCCTATCTGCCACCCTAAAAACCCAGCCCTGACCCAATCTCACTCCGTCAGATGAAAAACTCAGTTCCTGATACCCTTACTTCTCAGGTAACATCAGTTCCAAAGCGCCCACCTTCTCTCCCAAACCTGTAATGTCTACTGCTAAAAATACAATCCTAATTCCCTAAGCAAAGCAGCCCTTGCTCCCAAATCACAACCAAACGCCAGTCTCAATCTTCCCCCACCAGCCGTTTCCAAATCTCAGTCACCATTAGATGCTAGTCAGGCATCCTCATGTCCCCGACTGAATCTCTTCATTCCTTGTCATATTCCCAGTCGCACCTAAAAATCTACTGCCCCATTCCTCAGACCCCAGATTTCAACTGCTCCCATGCCAACTTTATCTCCCACTCTCTCGGTCCAGTTATAAAGACAGTAAATCTGGCGTCCATTCGCTTCAATTCAAACCTTAAATCTTGGTTGGCCTCCGTGTCAATTTTCACCCCCCATCCTCCCCCCGAACTGGAAAATTCTAGGCGAAATCTTCAGTTATCAGTCCAGGCTGGAACCACCCCCATCTAAACAGTGCCCATCTCAGTCTCGTCCACCTAATTCTGCCAAATGCACTCCTTCTACCTGGCCTCCTTCCAGCTCAATGTCTCCCTTTCTCAAGCAGCCCACTTCATCTGCAAGGCCTTGCTGGCCACCACCATATGCCAAGTGCCCCTGCATGGCTCCATTCCAGAGTCACCCCTACCTTGGCTTCAGTTTCTGCCAGCCTCTACCTATCCCGCCACTGTATGTCCCAACTGCCCCTTCTGTCCAATTCCAACACTCCATAACCCATCCCCCTCCCCATACAAGGACTGCGAGTCCCATCTCCCGACCCCAACTATGACTTTCATTTTCTTTTCCAAATGCGTCATCCCTTTCCCCCTAAAAGCCTCCTCCTTCTCGGTCCCCTCTCCAGACAAATCGCCATCACATTCCTCCCCCACTGCGTCGCCCTATCTGTTCCCCTCCCTCAAAACGCGTCACCCTGCCACCTCCTCCCATCAAATCTGTCGTCGCCATCAAATCCAGAGCCCCCTTCTCCTGCAAACGCATAGCTCTCCCCTGCTAAATCCTTTGCCTTCGCCCTCTCCCACCAAATTCCCTCACCATTAAATCCACCGTCTCCTTCCCACCCCCCACTCCCCCCGAGTCTGATGCCCTTTCTTCTCTCCTAAATTTTTGGCCCTGGCCTCCAGTCCTTTGTCCCCTCAAACAGCTTTAAATCCATCTCTATCAAATCCAGAGCTCTTGCTACCCCCCCCACCCGCGTTTAAATATGTGCTCTTCATCTAAATACTCCGCCTTGGCCCCCAATCCTCCTCCCCGCCCATTCACCAAAACTTCCCCGCCCCTCCCCCATTCTGTTACTTCTTTACTCGCCCTAAAACGCTGCCCCTTCCCTCCTATTCCAAGTTCATCGCCTTCATCCTCCAAACCCCTCTCTCCATTCCTTCGACCCCTTCCCTGCACCCACCAAATTCCTTGTTCCTCCCATCCTCTCCCAAATCTGTCGCTTCTACCCCTTCCCCCCTTACCTTCACCCCCAAGCCCCTCAACGCTTCCTTTCTCCCCGACTCCTTCAGCCCACCAAACCTGCCGTCCTCGCCCCTATCCCCAAATCCGTCGCCATAGACTCCCCGCCCCGATCCTCCTCCAGATCCCGGCCTGTCACCTTCACATCAGCCCCCACCTCCCTGCGGCGCCCTGGCCCCCGACCTGGATAAGCAGCTTCACGTAGAGCAGCGGGTGGCTGAGCGCCGTCACGCCCGCGCCCAGCGCCACGAAAAGAGCCTCGGTGGTCGGGGCGTTGTCCCCGGAGCCCAGGCCCCCGGACCCGCCGTCCATCCTGCGGGCGGAGGGCTGTGCCGCAGGCCGAGGGTGGCGCGGGTGTGCACGGTGCGCGGGCGGCGGATCGCGAGCCCGAGCCTCGACCCCCGCCGCCGCTCCGCCGCGAGCTCCCGCTCCTGCTCCGGCTCCCGCCATCCCCGCGGCACCGCCGCGAGCCCAGGGCGCCACTTCCGGGTCCGAAGCCCCCATGGCGCCGGGCGGCGAGGTCACTCCCCGTCACGTGACGGGAGGGCGCCCCGCCCCTAGCCGGCGTCAGGGGGCGGGGCCGGGCCGCACCACTCGCGGCTGCGGGGGAGCGCGGGTGTGTGGCGCGGAGGGTGGTACGAGCCGGGTGCGGCCCGCGGGCCGGATTGGGGCCTGACCCAAGGCTGGGTTGCAACCCGGGCGTCAGTGGTCGCGGGCGGCCCGGGCCGGGAGTTCCGGGAGTGCGAAGCCTGCCGCCGGCCGGGGCGCTCCCCCGGGAACCCCCCCCACGAAGGCGGCGGGGGCGGGGCTCGACGGCTGTGCCAGCCAGACGCCCCCAATATGGTCTGAGGCGCTCCCAAGCCCCCTCGCCGGCTTGGTGAGTTTTCTGCGCAGTTCTGGGCCCGCCCCTTTGCGGCCCGGAGCCCAGGCACTGCGGCCTGCAAGGCCTCTTCTGCAGCCTGAGCTCCTCCGCGCTGTCCCGTCGTGTCTTACGCCTTTATCCTCCCCGCTAAACCAAATCTAGGAGCCCCTTAGCGACTGTGGTCTCCCTCCTTTGTAGTTGAGCCTTCGCGAACGTTCCTTAGAGCCCACGGTTAGGAAAGTGTTTTGTCCTAAAGTATTTGCGTATCTCCCTCACTACATGGTGAGGGTTTTAATCAGTCTTTAAATGGGAGGATACACAGGCACTGTGCTAGGCATCGAAAGTCTAATATTTAAATGAGCAATGATAACTGGCCCTCAAATCACGCTCACTATATGCCAGGCATGTTAAAGTGCTTTTCAACAGGTTAACTCAAGGATGATCCTGGAGGGGCCCCTGGGTGCCTCAGTTGGTTAAGCCTCCTACTCTTGACTCTTGGTCTCCGCTGAGGTCTGAATCTCGGGGACTCTTGACTTGATCTGATCTCCGCTGAGGTCTGAATCTCAGGGTCGTGAGTTCCAGCCCCACTGGGTTCCATGCTGGGTGTGGAGGCTACTTAAAAAAAAAAAAAAAAAAAAGATCCTCGTAACAACCCTGCGAGGAGAAGGTATTTGTTACAGCAAGTACCCTGTCCCTGCTTGTAACCGTGCCCACCCTCACCCCCAGCAACACCTGGAACAGTGCCCTGCTGGCAGAGGAGGTGCTCAATAAACGTTTATACGGAACAAATTGAGTATCCCAGAGTCTGCAAGGATACAGCAGTGGGGCACCCGCTCCCTTTGCCAGTACTTATCCTGTGTTCTTTGTGAAAAAGGGCTTTAGAATAGACGTCTACCTTCTGACCACCTGGTCCAGGTTTCCTGCAGTCTACCCTGACTCCCTCCCTTTCCCCCTAAAAAGCCCCTTCCTCCCCCCATGCCACTCCTGACAATAAATACTCCATACACTGCCCACATCCAAATCCTGCCCGCCTTTTTTTTTTTTTTTT